TCTCCAGAAGTTCTATCTTGGATCAAAATTTCAGCAAGCTCTGCCCTGTGGCGATCTGGAATACGAGTCAGCTGCGCCATGATCGTGGTTGCGGTTGAACCTCGACTTTTGGCCACCAACCACATTTTGGATTCGCCATTGTATGAACATACGGCGATTCAATCTATCGCCAGACATCAAAAGGCATTATAGATTTATTCGAACACTCATCACTCCTCCGATACCAATGGCAGAATTCGAGAGTTGGAGTCGAGAACAGCTCATCGAACACATCGCCGCGCTCGAAGTAAAAAAGAATAAGGGCAAACAAGTCGCTCATACGAACGACGTATCACCAGATAAGCAAGAAAGAATGTTTAAATTCAACTCGTATGCGCAACGCAAGATCGCATTAAAATTTTGTTACCACGGTTGGGACTATAATGGTCTAGCCTTCCAAGTAACACCTACCCCTCTTCCAACCGTCGAGGGAGTTCTTTTCGATGCACTTTGTCGTGCACGTCTGATCGATAGAGACGCAGGGTTTGAAGGGTGTGATTGGTCTCGGTGTGGAAGGACTGATCGCGGCGTCAGTTCTGCTGGTCAAGTTATAGCCCTTAAGGTGAGATGTTCTTTGCGACCTAAAGTATCGAAAGAGGCATCTTTGAATGAAGAAGAGGATGTACAGAAAGAGGAGGAAAAAGAGGGGCAGGAACAGGGGCAGAAGGAGAAGGAGAAGGAGCAGGAGCAGGGGAAGCGAGAAGGCCAGGGGCAGGAGCCACCCATAGAGATTCTATATACCCAAGTTTTGAACCGGATTCTCCCCCCGACAATCCGGATCATTGCCTGGGCACCTGTCCGTGAAGATTTTTCTGCCCGATTCCACTGTCGCTACCGACACTACAAGTACTTCTTCGAGTCATTATCGCCACCGGCACGGCCCCTCGACATCCCAAGAATGCAAGAGGCTGCAGCCCGTCTCGTTGGCGAGCACGACTTTCGCCATTTCTGCAAACTCGACGGGAGCAAACAAATAGAACGATACGAAAGAAGAGTGACTTCGGCGACGATATCCGAGGTCGTCCCTTCGCGAAGCGGGAGTGAAAAGCCATTGTATGTCTTCGACCTCATTGGGTCCGCTTTTCTTTGGCATCAGGTGCGCCATATCGTGGCGATCCTATTCCTCGTCGGCCAGGGCTTCGAAGAAGTAGACATTATCGATGCGCTGCTTAATGCAAACGCAAGCCACCCGAACCCCGATCCATCGGTCCCGTTTTTAGAGCGCCGGCCGCTCTACGATATGGTGGAGGGTCTGCCTTTGGTACTCTGGGAGTGCGGGTTCGACGAAAAGGACGTAAAATGGCGAACGGACGATTACGACGGAGAAGAGGCGGTTGTACCGAGCCTCATGCCCTCGACGATTCAACTACGGGAGTCGATGGAGTCGGCATTGGCTGCCTCGAGAATCAAGACGTCCCTCTTGGAACACTTCTTTCAGACAGCTGCGGAACATCATCCGACGCCCGCCGTGGGTACCGACAAGGTCGTACGGGTTCATGCTGGAGGGGGAAGGATACGACATTTCAACAAATACGAACCTCTGCTGAAGCGAAAGAGAGGGCCGACAGTTACAGAGGTCAATGAGACATGGAAGAATGGGCGAGGGCCGATGGTAGCTGCTCGAAGAGCGGCAAAGATCTCTGCCGCAGGGAGGATGGAAGAAGAGGAGGGCCCAGAGTAAATGTTCGCGAGTCCTCATGGAACAACAGTGCATTACTTGCCTCTGAGCCCTCTACCCCTCTACCCTTCGCCCTCTCCCTTTTCTTTGCCGATCACTGTCCGCCCAATAGTCCGCCCTCTCGTTATCTGTATCGGTGAGTGCCTTTGCAAAAAAAATATTGAGCCGAGAAATCTTATTCGGTTCTCTTCGTTCAGTTTCTATAGTTAATCTATACTGTATTCTTCCAGGATAGAATCATATGATACAAAAAGGAAACACCAGCTAAACTACCATCAAAAATACACCATATTGCGACAGAGCATGGGCTTATTAGTACACCTAGGTGCTCCCAAAAGGAGGAGAAGAACGAATAGGTACCCAGAGAAAGAGTACGGCATATCTAGTGTGCATTATTACACACGATACGTGTCGTTGTTATACGGACGCATGCCCAATAACCTACGGAAGCTGAACTATATCAAATGGGTCAGCTCGAAAGTTAATTGACGACAAAAAAAACCTGCATCTCACATGACCGGTATCCTCTGAATGGGAATGGCGACGACGTCCAGGGTTGGACATTAACATCCCAGATGGACTGGAACTACGATGTCGATGTCGTTGTCGTCCACTGTCGAGCTCGTAATAGCGCGATCCACCGCCAGACGTGGTGACGGGAACGTAATAGGCCGTTCCACTTCGATGATGACGGTTGTAACGCGGGTCATCATCGTAGTATCGGTCGCGAGAATGGGTCCCAGTCGTGTTCACTACGTAAACGCGACCGCCGCCACTGCTGACAGACGCTCGTCTGCCACTGCTAGTACCAGTGGGTACGTAGTACACCGGTTGAGTGGCATGACGGGAACTCGAGTGAGAACCTGAGCGACTCCGACCGACGTTCGAACTCGTCGTTGTAACGGGATAATAAGTCGCGGTCGGCGAATGACGATGGTGGTGCATGGAGCTGGTATAGGTAGGAGCACTTGTCGCATAGACAATAGGTTGGGTATGGGAATGGCGAGACATTTTGCTCAGAGTAAAAAAAAGGATTAAAAGCTAAAGTCTGGATTGTTGGGGAAAAGTAGCGGCTAAGGAAAAGTTAGGAGGGGCGCAGAAGTTCAATCCCTTTTAAGTGCCACCCAGGCGGCGTATTGCGCTACGTCAAACCTCCCAGCCTCAGAGGCGGGGTGGGGCCTTCGCAGGAAACCCGCTGAACCCGCTGACACAAATGAATGGCATGGAACTGAAGAGAACTGAAAAGACAGGTTTAATTCACCGATCAGAACCGTGTGACTCGGGGACTTTTGATAGAAGCTTCGTTCATCAGTGCCAGTACTTCTGGACATAGGGGGCAACGACGCGCCAGGCAGCGTCGACAGCACTCTGAATCGTATCAGGAAGCGGTCCCTTTTCCAAGTCGATCAAGTTCTGTGGAGAGAGGGAGAGGCGTTAGCATATGGTAGCCCGCTGGAGTGGTGGTGGCATGCATTACCTGCTCCAAATGAGCGGACTTGGAAGCGCCGATAATCACCGCATCTCCAAACTCCCTGTTAACCAGCGGCATATTAATCAGAACGCAAGGATACCACGAGGCACAAAGCTCCATGCAAACGAACCGTTTCATAAGACTATGGTGTGACATCCATCTCAACGCAACTTCTGCGACTGTAAGGTTCTCCTTTGCCGCGGCTTCTGCGATGATGGACAGCGCTTCAAAGTTGTGGTCGTTCCAATACCTCTTCCGATAGGCAACGGACTGGCTCGTTCCTTTGGTATCATCGAACCGAGAACCCTGTTCGATCTTGGAGTTA